TCAAAGGGCTTCAAAAAATGCATCCTCTTTCTGAAGGATAGATATTCGTATGAAATGCCAGGGAATTAAAAGCAGAAGATATTTCCACATATTTGCTCTCCGGTGTCGCTGATTTTAACATTCTTGCCTATTAACTTAAATATCACGGGCTCGAAGCTCCATTGGAGCACACCCAATGATCGAAATGTTTAGCCGCACTTGGTTTGACTGGCAGATTGAAGAGTTGGGGTGGCCGAATTCAAGTCCGTCACTAGGGTTGTTTCATTATGCCTCGCTAGCCAAGATGAGTGTTGAAAAACTTTTTTCTGAAACTCAAATATCAATAGTTCTCTTTGCTCAAACGTTCTGTTCGTGTAATTGTTCGTCATTAAATATACGTACAGTTTTTTTAAGGTAATAAACCTTCTCCAGCTATAGGCAAGTAAATACAAAATTTTGTAATTTATTTTGACAGGAATTTTCAATTATTTCATTTTTATTATTCACCAGAGAGAATATGAAAGATTTCTATTAATTTGAATAGAAGAATTAAATTATTTGCTTTGGTTATTTGGGATCTGATGCCCCCAATATTGTACCGTGGAACTTGACCCATTTTCAGGATCATGCCCCTTTATTATTGCTGTGTATTTTTTTTACTTTTTCTTGGGACCAGCGTTGTTGTTCATCGGATGTTCAGTGTTCATACCTATTAACAAATTATAGTTCACGACTCATAAATTCGTTAAAAAGAAGCTTCTTCTGAGATCCAATTTGTCGAAGGAGTAACGGTTTGTTCTAGAAGTGATGGGTAATCTGACTAAAATTTGGAATAGAGCATTTTTTTTCTCGGTTGATTTTCAGTTAAGTTGCAACCCACTATTGGCTTACGTAGAAGGGCACGAAATAACAACCCAGTTTTGAAACATTTAATTTAATTTAAGCTTTACAACATGCAAATTAATAAGACTAAAAGATGATGGACACTGAGCCTCTATGGCTTTGAAGAATTTGAGTATCCTTTGGCGAAGAAAGATACTAAACATTTTGTGTGCCGAGGTTTAGATTGGATAATATTACCCTCGTCTATTTGTCATATCAGTGGGCAAATGTCAAATTCGCTATACGGGCAATTCGTTTAAAATAAGGCCTTAGAGTTATCGAGTGAATTTAGCGATTTATTTAAGGCCAAATGATGTACAGGTAATGAATTTTAAGATATGAAAATGTTTTCATTCGTCAAAACATCTTTATTCGTATTATTCTCTGTCTCTTTGTATTTATTCACGTACTCAAGGTGCCAAGATGATTCATAGCATGACCATTACTCACGCCTTTGTTTTATAGGTCACACGCGTGTTAGAAGAAAGTTCGTAAGCAGCTGGACCTAGGTTAAATAAACAGGCCTGCATGCAGAGTGCACTAGAGTGCAATCCGAAATGGTAGCTCAGTGTGGCCATTATCTAGGTCAGGTTATTTAGGCGTCGGTAGCTATCGCTTGAGTTGGAGCTAGGTGCAAATGATGCAAATAGTGCCTACTCTACGCTGTGCTTTGTGATTCTAAATTCGACCTTTCGTATGTCTTATGAATGTTGTGCCCTATCATGTGCTGGCCTTGTCAAAATATAATAGGCTATCAAAAAAGGTATTTAGACTGCGCTATCTATGACTTTTGAGTCGCCTGTGTTTGTCACGCATTCGCCTCATTTATCACAAGGAATAGCGTGTACTCTGGTTTACTTTTTATTAAGCCCGCTAAATAGGTCCCATTAAGGAGTGGAATTTTTTATCCAACACTACTAAAAGAGGGAAAGCGAATTACAAAACCAAGGAGTTTTGGCTATGAAGGGCGGTAAGGTTTAACTGCCAGGGAGCTTCAATGAGAGTTTGCAGATATTAATTCATAAGAACGGTTACCAATCCCCTGAAAGTGGATGATGGCATACTATGAACTAATCAATGGTGGCTTCACTCTATTTTTTTTAAATTACAGAACTGTTAGTTGTTCTACGCTGCCATTGAGAGCCGGAGCATATTCACTTTGGGTTCTAAATTTTGAATGCAATAAGTTATCACCCGGATTACTGCGCAAGATCTTCCCACAATATCAGGTGTTTATCCACAGGTGATTTATATTGGATTTGCAGTCTTGCAATTTCAATCAATGTATACTTTTTTCGAAGCCTTAGAAAATTAGATGAAAAGTGAGATAGATCAGAGATAGACGTGGCCATCAATGGTGATTTAAACATAGTAGGACTCAGTGGAGTTCATTCAAGGCGAAATTCTTCGCTTCGGAGTGAGTCATAATCCTGCCTTTGTCTCTCAATTTGTCCATCCGACATGCATGACTCATTCACTGGCAATGTGCAACTACCAGGTAGTGGGGAGTGCTTTGGTTTTCTCGTTTCTCTACAGCCAGGGGGGGGGGTGAAATAAAGTCAATCAAGTGACCTTTGTACTGATGTAAACTATCATGCCATCATTTGTATTCGCTCACCTGTAAAATCGTGGTCTAAATGTTTTCATCCCCGAGAAAGACGCTTAGGCGCGAAGGTCAAAATACTCCACTTATTTGCATAGTCAGTCTCATGCTTAAGAGCCCCGATCAAACCTTCCAACAGTTATTGAAAGTGAGCTAATTTGGCCTGACTCCATTCCATTATTTGGCTGTTTATGGTTCATCATTGAAGTAACTTTAAATTTGTAGTACTCTCTCCAATGATAATTTTGTCTTGTTATTTATCAGAATAAAAATTACGCGGTGTCTGATTAACTTTAGATATCTCAGTACGACCTTTTATTCATACTCCGCTTCATCAATCTCTCATTTCTTATTATGATGCATTAAGCCTTTTATTCTTCAACACTCACTTTTATGGTCAGTGGAAGGCTCTTAATTTTTTGTTAGTTCCTGGGAAGGTTATCACAGTTTCTTAATCTCCCTCTCTCTCCCCGTCGATTGACTGGATTTAAAACTGCCTAATTCTACTTATAGGAGTCTACACCAAAGGGCCCTCATAGTGATTATAATCTTCCATCTAACATGTCCCTTTACACAGCAGTGATGCAATGCATTATTCTGGTCATTTCTTTGTGAGGAAGACTCGAGAGTTGTGAGTACTAATCTGAACACTGATTGTATGTCAATTAACTATCGATCACAATAATTTGAATGACTTTTCCCGATGAGTCTGTGGTGGGAGGGGGGGGGGGGGGGGGGGGGNGGTGGGATTGGTCACTGCATCGCCATCACGACAGAAGTCACGGATTCAACTCGCGTCGTCACGCACCCAGTGAGTGGAATGACCAACCGAAATGGTTAAGTCTGTTCAGCATAGACAATAGTAGATTTCTACTCATTCTCCAGGTAACTTTCAGGATTTCATTCTCTCCCTAAGTAGGTCGTTAGAAAACGCTTTCTTCTAAATGCATTTACTCTAAGGCAAGAATTGCATTTTCAAGGCAAATGAAAACTTCATTCTTGTGAGATTCGGCCTATTGTTCGGGTACGGACGAACTTTAATGGTTCCTACAAATTAGCTGCATTTATCAAATTTGGTGTCTTAGGTTGTAAAATTCGAGGTTTACACTATTCATTTAAAAGGTACGCCTTGGAGCTTGTAGGAAGTAAGTTTAAGACTGGTATGAAATAGTGGAATTCCATTGACATCATTTTGGCTCAAAACGTTGGAATATGGTTTGTTTTGCATAATGAGGTCTTGTAGGAAGTGTTCCTAACTAACTGGTTTTGTATTCAGCAGTTAATTCGCCTCCAAACTGAATCGACTTAATTAGTTGTTTCCAGAACAAACTAGATGAATTCATTAGAAATTGAAAGAAAATATATTGATGGGGTAGCAAGGACCGAGGGTGACCGTACAGGCAGATGACCCAATTTCCAAAAAGTGGACCACAATGAGTAGTTCTGCACCCATGGTGTGTTTGTGCGTGTGCGTGGGAAAATGCAGACAGATTGTAGGCACTAGAGGCAAATTGTGGAAGTTAAGATTAGGACAGATTAGGACCTGGGCAAAATGTTTCTGGGTGTCCTAGAGAAGTGCATTTCTGAGTAAAATTAGACAGTTAGAGTTAAAAGAGAATCACTCAACTTGTCTAGACATGTCAGATGAGGTTCGAGTCATGGGGGCATTAAGGCGAAACTCAGTGCATTTTATAAATTCTCTAATTGAGAATAATTCTAGTAAACTTATTGAGGGTTATCCTTCTCACTAAATTGTGATTTTGGCTATTGAATGTTGTTTATTTAAATGGCTCGACATAAATATTTTTGTTGCATTTTTAGTCAACCCAATAAGTTGAGTCAATTCTAATTCTTGATTTGGAGTAAGATGAGCTGTATTTCAACTATTGAGGATTGTGAAACACTGTTATAGGGCATATTTCTTCAAAAGACATCATAGTCGATCACGTAGCACATTGCGCTTGCAGTATTTTCTATAAGTGCGTCTCTGTCTGTCTAATCATGAGTAAATATTTAACGACCGGTCGATATTTGTCGATAGACAGCCACCCACCAGAGAAATTGTGATGGCTGTGCGTGAACCCATTGTAACAATAGTGACACTAATTTGTCACTGATCAATCTAATAACAATGAGAGACACTTTCAGAAATGAAATTAAGGGATAGAAGACAAAATTGAAGAATTAATGAAAAAGGGGGGTTGGATTGAAAGACCGGTCTAAATTTTCCATGGACTTCATTTTATGCACATTGAGGGGTCTGACAATGGCCGAGAACAATGGAACCATTTAGCCCAGAAATAGTACATTGACCATAGCCTTTAAAATCATGAGTACGTGTTGATTGCAGGTAATTTGAAAGCTGAAATGGGACATATTTGTGCCTGACATGGATGGGTAAATTAAAATTTTCTTTTCTAATTATTTCAAAACAGTTAATCTAACAATCTGATTTCGTATGCATCACGTGTTTGGTCACGAGCTACAATATTCTTGAAAACTTTCCCATAAAAATTTTATTTTAACGGTTTTCTGAATGGCCGACTACTTTGATTCTCATAGAGGCACTATTGCCACCGAGTTTTGGTAATTGGCAGGTTTGATTGGCGAAATTTCGAACTTCATTTTGCAGCAAGAATTTCTAATTTAGTGGTTGGCAAGGTGGTATAAATAAACAGATCTTTGTAATTGGCATTGAAAGTGGTTCATAGTTTATCTCGTATCATTCCCTTCGATTTACTGTCTGAGCTACGCATTGGATCTAAAGAAGGGTTACGTTGGCTCTTTCTGGTTGGATTGAGAAAGTAGATGTCAACTCAAACGATCAGCATTATGCTGCTCACTCATTTATCTTAAAGTCTGTTTGCAATGCAAAATCCTCCAAACTTTCGAGCGATGCAAGTTATGTGGGAAGAAGACCTGATTACAACTAAAGTTAATTAGAAAACCTAGTATTAGGATTGGAATATCCACATTTCCCTTTACTAAACACATGGTGAATATTTTTGAAAAAATGTATTTGTCCTCTTTCTAAATCATGTGCAGTGGGACAAATATACAAGTTCTAATTTAGGTGTTGAAATTGGTCAATATTTAGTTCAATGTATGGAAGGAAACATGCTTGGGTCTCTATCCCATTGGTTTCTATTTTTCAATGATTAACTTTACGGATTAGCCGATTTGTACAAATTTCTGTGGTGATTTACATAACAAAGCCTCAGAAATTTGTCGCTTGTGTATAAGGCAAAGCATCGGGTGTCTAGGAGTCAATGTGATGAGCTACCTAGTTCATCTTTTTATCCGAAATGACAAAATTCTAATTACCATCATTGAAAAGCCATCAAGACTTGGGAAGTTATCATTTTGGTTGTCAAATGCCATCCACAAACACAATGGGAATATAATGAGGTCAAGGATTTTCTGTCCTGAATCCAGGTTTTGAAAGTCATTTGGACCAATAGTCAAACCTTGGTGAAGAGAGTTCGAATTGTTGCAAGTACCTTTAATGCCATCTTGGTCCAAGACAATTATATACGAAACCTGATCCCTTATTTTTGACTGAGCATTACTGCTGACATTTAAGATTGTCATTCCTACTTGTGGTGGTAGGGATACTCTAGTACTCTGGCATTAACGTCGTGGTTCATTAAAAGTCGCCTTGCATGTTGCGTAGATGGAGTTCCATGAGTTTGGTCACATTCCAATTAATGCGATGTTTTCCACAACACCATATGTTCGAAATATGCGCATTTGCACTTGTGACTGGCCTACTTATTTATTGGAAAATGATTAGCTAATAATTTTGATCATATTTATGAAAAATTGCCCCCCCCCCCCAGTTCCCCTTATTTATACAAACCATGGTTGTCGCACATAGGGACAGTAATTTACGGTAAACGTTGGGCGATTTCGGTGAGTGCAATAGGGGATATTTAATTGTCCTCTTTCGACTTGAAAAGGTCTTTGCTGTTGCCTTTAGAAAATTTCAGTTGAAGAGACTCAACTTGAATTTAATCTCTTCTGTCATGCTGACAATTAAATCTGTCGAGTTTTAATCATCTCCTTCTTTTATTAGATTCTAAGTATCCGAAGAGTGGACAATTGGAGTTCTTGTTAATTGTTGTGCCTGTGTGAAACAGTGATTTCAATTACAGTACAAAAGAAACAAGTTCATTCAGTTAAGATTTGGACAGAATTGTTGAACACACAATAAGTTGATTTTACTCAAACTATTTGTGTGCTTTTGGAGAGAAGAGGAGAATTTGTGGATTGTTTCAGGTAGGAAAAGTAGGTGAAGGGAAAGACTTCCTCAGGCATTTGATTGATGTCCGTTAGTCATGAATTCATTTGGTCTCCCTAGCCAAAAGATTTCTGAAGCAGCACAAATAGGGAGACTTTTTGTAACACCTCAAAGTGTGATCTTCTTTAAGGCTTGGTCGTTGGATTCGTCAGTGGATTTTATTCCACGCGAAACCTCTTCCTAAGGCGGCTTGCGGTATTTGTATGTGTCCTTATTTGTGTAAAGTTGATTACAACTCACGAAGCATGAAGTAAGGGAGAGATGAAGGCCATTGAGTTTGCGTAGCAAGTTGTGTGGGAAGACAATAAATAAATAGAGGACATGTTTATACTTGGAAATACAAGTTGGGACTTAATTGCTATGATCTCTTGTTGGTTTCCAGGGCCTCTAGTTGCGTGGGGTAACAGCTGACGCGGTTATTAGTCATGCTAGGAGCAAACTAAGCAGTCGAAAGGACGAACTGTCGATGCCTATAAAATAGTGCTGGTTTACTCCAGTAATCTTAGTCCCACGTAGTGAGCTAGATAAATTCCATTGACAGATTAACAAGCAATCTATGTCATCTTCCAGGTTATGGACACATCGTGCCACTGACCGATGGGGGCAAAGTCTACAGTGTGATCTTTGCCTGCATTGGCATCCCCTTCACTCTTCATGTTACTTCCTCAATAAATAACCATTTCCTCATCCCAACTGTGAATCGCTTTCGAAATGTTTTCGTAAACTGGATTGACAGAAACCATGAGCCAAAGCAATCAGTCCTAGTGTCCTCTCAGAATTTACTCGAGTCGAACCGACCCGTATTTTTTCGCTTCCCGCATTTAACGTCGATTATGAAGGCCAATGGAAATGGCGTGGCCAGGTAGGTTTTTTGTCTCACACAATTTTAGAATTATAGCTTATTAATCCTACTATTTGGAATTCGCTTTTTAATGCTCTGATCTGACTTGATTTGTGAGAACATACTCAGAGAGAACCTCATTTCGATTGGTTGGTCATTCACAGGACTAATTGCGCATTTGCATCAATATCCTAATCATTCACTTGGCTACCAAAAATGCTATTTTGATTATTTTCCCACTGTCTTACGTTTAAAATAGTCAAATGCAGTTATTGGATAATTCACCTGTCAGTGGATCTGATGAAAGGCGATTGAGAAATCATCAACCTTGCTAATGTATTTTGGAATGTGAAATTCTACATTCATCGAACGTTGCCACTCTTGTTGCTAGGACTGCGTTGTTATGCCTGCCATTTCCTAATACCCCAGTTTACGGACTGGTGAGTTACACTTTTATGCTTGAGCGTTACTGCTCATCTAATTCAATGCCAATCATTTTTAGGAAATAGAACCTAAAATATTAATAAAATTGAATTTTTTTGTCCTGGGGTCATGAGGAGGTAAATGGGGGTAGCGAGGTAATATTGAAGCTCATTGTTATTTTCTTCAATTATACTCTTATAGATCTATGCTACTAGCATAATCCATCTAATAATACGACCGAACATGGGTGAGCTTCTTGAATTCTACAGAGCTCTTCTATTGTGGTCACCAACGAAGCACATTGACATCCTCTTATTTCATTGAAATTGAGGCATACTCATAATAATCTACCCAAGACTTAAAGTGCACAAACTATTATTTTTCTCTTAAAAGGGATATTTTAACATCGACAGACACAAATATATTCATTGACTCTTCCAAAGTGCATGGATCTCTCAAGAGTATCTATTAACTCTCGCTATTTAGAACTTAGTGGCAATTTGACCTTATCAATTTTTTTATAGAATCGTCGAAGGTGTCTCTTTGATAATTGCTCGCGTCAGCCAAGGAATGTTTCTCCTTGCGAATTTATTGAATCTCACAATACGACACCGCAAAATAAATGAAATATTTGAAATCAATCTTGCTAATTGACGCTTCCATACAACAGTCCTACTTTAGCTTCGAGATGCTGGTCGATCTATTTATTAGTTAGGAGTTTTATTTCATGGACATCCCAGTTTGTAGTGAAAAACTCTATCCGTTGATCGCCACATGCATATGGTTGTTGAATAGAAGGGATTAAATTAATAAGGAATCACTGATGAATCTCAGGCAAGGAAGACGTTAATATATTGCTATGTTGAAATTTAAGGGAAGTATTGTACTAGAAAGTGCAGCATTCTACTTTTTTTTCTCTAGACATATACTTCTATACATGGTACTTTGAGCGTTAAAGATAGTCTGCTTTATTACAGAAAGGTCACATACCTTCCTGTGTCTTTGCTTCTAGGGTGGGGGGGGGGGGGGGGGTGTAACTTATGATCCCTTCTTTCAGTGCGTTTTTTAAGGTAGAGGGAAAATACGTGGCTTGAAATTCACGTAAACGGGGAGAATTTTTTAATGAGTAATGAATTTATTTTGGGCGAATGTCACTGTTAAAATATCTGTGGTGCAGAACGAATGCTGGGAGCACTTAGTCCTGCTTGTTATCACATAAAATGTATCAAAAAACACAGATTTACAACTTAAATGCGGCCTCGGCATGGACGAATTTTAACTCTGGTTACTAGGCACTTGTATTGGAATACTTGAGTTTATTTTGCTCTAATTAACTCGAAATGCCTTGAAGCACTTTCTGCGTTTCATCATTAAGGCAATTGAAGAAGAAAGTTCGGGGAAATAGCATTGATTGATTTACATAGTCCTCTCGCATGAATCTCTTTCAACATCAAGGGCTATAAAATGTTAGAGATCTTGACAAAAGGAGTGGTCATCTTTGATTTTGTTAGCATTAACTGGATTTTTATTTCAACGTACCAACATATGAATGACACAATCGCATGGGGTTAGAAAGAAACATGAAACTGAATGCAACCGATTTTGATGTGCCAAAGGCACTGGTTGCTTCAATTAGACTACATAAATTTCGGATCAATTGATCGTGTGATGTGAAATCAAGTTTGCTTATCTACCATCAAATTAATGATTTGACCTAAATCTGAAACTATGTTCATTGAGATATTCAAACGGTTTAGTAACGTGGTAATAAGCGGGGTCAATAGTCTCAAATAGATTTTATGATGCCTCATGATATTCAGAGCTCTTAGGTCAGTTGATTCAATTTAACAGTTGATAAACAAATCTGAGGTCATTCACATGACCAAGTTGATAAAAATTTAGTAAAATACAAATGAAATCAAATTCGCTCCTGAAAACTGTCTTAAGAGGAATATTGGCCCAACCACTTTCCAAACCTAATGAAATAGTGTCGAAGTGGATCCATGGTGTACAGTATGACTCAAATTTAAGATGTCTCGTGTCCTTTATCATTCTGAAAGTGACATTGAGCGCTTTCTCGGAGTCACGTAATATTCTGTATTAAAAAATATGATATTAAGTTACCTTTCTGTATTCACTCGTGACCTCTATTATCACACCCGTTCTACTCATTTCTGACGAATGAATCGATCTCATGTGGACGAATATTGACTCCGGAGTTTTCAAATTTCTTGGAAAGCTCCGGTTAATATATATGCTGTTTCTATCAGATTGTAGTAGCCGGGAACCAATAGGAAGTTAGCCATTTCAAAACAACTTTAAAATGTTGCTTATTTTTTATGTATGAATATGATACTCTATGTTAAAGTTTCCATCATTATTCGCAAATCTTTCTTATTGCTCTTGCGGTTCTTTCCGGCCACCTTTTTGAACAAGACTTGCTGTTTTCAAGTAATTTTTCCACTTCAGTCACAGCTCCAACCTCATTAGCAAATCAAAGTTAAAAGGGCTTGTTCTTTGTTTAGAGAACACGTTTTGATCATGTTTTCCACCGCTCCTCTTTGCTATACTGGGAGAGTTGATGCGTCGGCACCCAAATTCTCGTTCTGTTTAATTAAGCAATGCGCTTCTAGTTCAATTCGACAGTTGACTTTGCCTATTCGACTTTGCAAGAATCCTTCGATAGTCAACCGAGGACCGATTTGGAACCGTTATTATTTCGTTATTAAAATTTTTTGGCCATCCTGATTTAATTTATGTTTCCCGAATTAAGCCTTTTAAAGCAAAATTACTATCCGAGGACTGTTAGCATTCGATCATAAAATTCATTGATGATTGTAGCTGTAGCCATGAAGAGGTTCAAGGCCAGATAAAAGAAAAGAAGCATACAGTGTCTGTCTGGCAATAGAATGTAATGTAAATGTTGTTGAATGATTTGTCTACAGAGAAAAACACTAGGACTTGTTTCCCTCACTGTACCTGGGCACAACTTGAACTCAAGTAACCGTTTATTGACTGCTAAATTCTTTTGTTGATTTCCCTAATGCAATCCACTGTATCATTTTATTACTATTTAAAGCGTGCAGTATATTTTTCTCGAGTAATTAAAACATTTAATTGGTGTAGATGCCTGTCAAGAGTTGCTAGTTGACCAGTCCACCTAATTGACTTTTTTCGAACGTTAGCTATACCTTCAGTCAAATGCACTATTAGCTGAAAGTTAGTATAAAATCTACTTAATAATGTATTAAACAACTGGGATCTCTATTGGTATGAAAGTTTCATTTTGCTAGCATATGAAATTGAATTGGAACACTAAGGGATTCGTCGTCTGACTTCTTTGCATCTATATTCCTTAATATTTTAGAAAAATACCTTCTCCGGACAATGAAGCCGTTCGGACAAATCGAGATATTCCAACTGTTTGTATAAATGGGGTCAACCAGAGTGCCGTCGAAATGCCAGTACCTTCGGTAACTCATACGATTTCGCCCGGTGAAGCAAATGAATCGTTTGATGATGCCGATGCTTACACTTCCAACTCGAGTGGTAAATCCATAAGCTTGAATGCTAAAAGTGCACCATGTTCCTCAAAAGAGCCCCCAGAGATCAAACACGTGGTCGCTTTGGACCCTAAAAGCAGTTATTCTCGATCACAAAGACCAGGTGGTGCGGGCGATAGAGGTGGTCTATCGGATTTCACAGAAAGGCGAAAGATATCAAGGAAACATTATTCGTCTGTTTCGAAGACATCCATTTTTGTGAATATGCGGTTGAAACACGTGGGTTTTATTCCACTTTAGAGTTTATTTCTTAAAGATAACCAGACTTAAATTTTTAATTAGGTTATAGGATGGTGGTAAAAAGGGCAAGAAACAAAAGATGAATATGTCCTTTTGGTCGTCTACTTTTGCTTATCTAAAGTGACCTAAAGTGGCGTCTACAAGAAACTCGTGTTATACTACTCTTGTTAACAAGTAGCTATCAGCGCGTTTGGCCATCAATACCACTGGTTTGTACACGATAGGACGAGATGTAGTTTAACATGCCTTCTTTCTACGGACATAAAACACATAAATTTCGGGTCAATGCAGGGGTAAATAATTACCTTTTTAGTTTCAGATTTTGCAGTCTACTGAATAGTCACCGAGAGTTTCATCCTCTACGTTGCAACCTTAATGAATACCTCGATCATATTGAGTGAGATCTATTTCAAATAATTTCGAAAACCGAAGTTCACGTTCAAAATGTCTTGGAAAAAGGTCTGTCATAATTAGTAGCCTCACTGGACCTACGTACAGGTGCTTACATGCTTCCTTTTTTAATCTACCTCAAACTTCCAATAATTAAACAGTGTAGGTTACGGCAGTTGAGCTCATTATTATTGTTAAGAGCAAAGAGCAATTTGGCGAATTTTCTGCATTCACTTTAAATTGCGTCTTAATGAAAATTGAAAGCGTGAGCGCAGCAAAATCTGCTTAGGTGTAACGTTTGATTGCATTTCTCCCCGTGGATCGTTAATTTGAATTTCAATCACTACAGTCTTCTTCTACCTTTAGCTGAGTGGATTTAGTGAGATTGGGAATACTGTTCAGGAAAATTGTTTCTTACAGTAGCGAAATTCCTTTACCCTGTGGTGTTTTCTCTTTCCCTTTCATATTCCTATTATCGCGGGAAGATTTCCGTTGTTTAGGAAAACTTTGTTTTTAAAATTTTGGTAATAGTGAACTCATTTTAGAAAAAAGAGCTTTTTCCACATTTCTAGTTGGTTTGATTTCTTTCGATGTTGGATGTGGTGGTTTTTTTCTCATATCTCATCCTCGTGATTCTTAAGTGTCAGCTTAAAAACAGTGATTGTTATTATGTCTTTCTCTATCAATGTAAAGAATAATTGCTTCACAGAACAAGCATAGTGAACATACTGGACTTTAAAGTAACATGAGACCACTTGGAGCAAACTGTGCCTTGAGAATTAGTCAAATAGAGCTTGGAGTAGGTAGTGGTGTATTGAGGAGGCTTTTCAGTTTTGATATTAATAAAATCAATAGGGTGTTGACACTGTTCAATATTGTGTATTTTTACATCTCTGGGTGCAAAATTTACGAAAAGAACCTGCCATTTACATTTTTAGCTTCAATAATGTTGCTTCGGGATCATTGAAATCAATGCCATTGCAGTATTGAAAACCTATTATTTCGAAGCGATATTGGGTAAATAACAACTAAATTTGATTAAATAGGCGCCTGGGTGTCATTGAATAACTTACTTCGTAAAGTATGAGATATAGTCGACATGTCCAAAAAATGCTAAACGAAGTATTACTTAATGCCTTCTGTGCTTCTAATATGTTACACCAAGTCGGTTCATGCCTTCTCATTATATTTCCAGCGAGTCTTAACTGCAAGTTCATTTCTATGCTGCACAGCTTGCGAGGTGGTAGTTGAACTTAAATAATTCGTCTTTTTCATTGTCACTATTTGAAGGAATTCGTAGTACTCAAGTCACCGTGAGTCACCTAGGACTTTTAGAATGCAAATTATATACATTGGTTCATTTCCATAATTTCTCATCATTTATGCTGTACAGTTCAATCCCACTATGGTAGAATCGAAGGGTATTGCAACCACAGATGAACTACGCTCTATGTGATGCTTATCCTGTAAAAATTTGAACACCTCTAAGGCAAACTAACATGAAATGGGCGATTTTTCATCAATGCCGTTTGGATTGTGTATCAGTTGCTTGGATAGTAAGGGCGTCTAGAACTTTGCATCCTGAAACACTAATCTGGTTGGGAAGATAAAGTCGGGGGGGGGGGGGTTATTTTGGAAATAGCTGACTAACTGATTAACCTAACTTTACCACATTTACTATTCAGTACTCAGTCGTCCAACCCCCACTCAATATGTTGGATTTGTGTCGTGTTGTTCGTCGGAATTCAACTACTCGAGCTCGAGTGCTCTTTCTCCTTCTTATCTGCGTAATAATCATCAGCATGACGATGATATTTCCTGCTGCAGTGTTCAAAGTATTTGAACCGGAGTGGACGTATTTGGATGCGCTCTACTTCTGTTTCATTTCACTCACCACAATTGGCTTTGGTGACTTTGTTCCCGGAGAGGCTTTCATTGGAAACAATTCATTAACTTCGGATCCAACCTATGTTCCTCTTCATGAAGCTTACCTAGTGACGTCTGCGGGTAAGTGCTCTTTACCATATTTCACATTTTTAATTCTGATGGAGTAGATAAATCGAATGCGGACAGATGGAGTAGGAAATAGGTCCAAATAATACAAAGTAAGGCAATGTCATGTAAAATAACAAAGTAGAGAACTTTGCCAGATTATCTTCACTTGTTTGATAAAGGCGCATATCTGAAGATCAGGACCACATCTTTGCAAGGGAATACGCATTTAATGTTTATTATATCGTTAACCTCTGTTGTATTGCGGTGAAGCTCAATTTATCTCTATTCTTTAGCAGTTAATGGTAGTGGTACTCACCCCCCCCCCCCCCAACTAAATTATATTAGTCGTGACCAAGTGATTGGGGGGGGGGGCAATTAGAAATGTGTCTGATCGCACTGTTAAGTACAAGTTAGCAAGAGAGTTGATGGAGAGGCCTCCAGTGCATCTTCGTTCTACTCAAATATGGCGAGCACTTTCCATCAATATCTTAGGGAGTTTTTACCAGTGACAACTGCCAAATTTGACAAAAGTTGGTTTCCATTTTTCCTTGATGAGTTTGAGATCTGTGTCGTCTGATGATTTGCATTTGTATACGTAAAATTTTGCGAGCTTTAATCGTTTGAACACGTCACCTCTTTAAAATAGCTTTTGCTTTTCAATTTGGTGTTAGGGTCGTTTTGTTGAATGACAACTATCGTATCTTTACTAAATCTTTGAATTAATTCAATAATCTTTCGCTCCGAATCGGAAGTTCCTCGTATTCACCCCTCTTTCATTATATTATCAATTTCATTATCATAATAGTCTGTTCTGTATCTCATTCTTGAAGACATAGCATAGCTCTTAAGAAAACAAGATAATCCGTTTTTTTGCCTAAAGAATAAGGCACTACAAAGGAGGAAATTTGAATTAATAAGTTGTCTTTTCTCTTTTAGTATACCTGATCACCGGTGCCACCTTAATGATGCTTATGGTTCGAACTTACCGTGGTATGATGGAGCTCGAACGTAAGGCGAAACGTGATCGCCTCTACACTAAGCTTCAACATTCATTTACTGATCCCTCTTTGCTCAATACACCGGTCTCTCATTAGTAATAGACCGAAATTAAGGAAAACAGGAAGTTTCTCACTTTTAAAAATCCAAACGGAATTCGCGACCTCTATCACCCCCTCTCCTCCCATTTATATCATCCACTTTGCACCCGGAAATCTTATGAAAAACTATTTTACTGAAATTGGAAGTTCCATGTGTTCAATGTTTTACGATTGGCACACAGCACTGTTACTTTTATATACAACGAATTTATTAATTAAATACATACCGCCATTAATGGATGAATTCAAACATCGAGAATAGATGGGGGAGCGAATCGATTATTATGTAGTTCAGTTTTAGAACACAACTCTTTGATTGCTTTAAAAATGACGTATAAGGCACCCAGCTATAAACCAATTAAGACACAAGGAAATCTCAGATACTCTTATAGTTTGTCTAGCTGGATAGTGTTCCTTTCTGTCCTTCTGGAAAGGCTATTAGTATCACTCGTTTTGAATCTCAAAAGATAGTGGCTATGGCCTTTCAGTTTTGAACTTGACAGGCTCAGAATTTCAGTGAAAATTGAAGTGCTTATCTGTGTGCGGTTCATACTACATTAGCAATTTTCTCGATGGTAACTCGTCCATTTTGCTCTTGCAATAGATCCTGCGCAAGAGGGATGTTTTCTTGATGTGGTGGGTCTTCCTTCTCGTGGGTCGTCTGCTCCTTTAGAGCGTTTGATCGATTTATAAGTGACTGCTGTAAAGTTTCTATGTTCTAAACAGGTTTCCAATTTAGGTTAGTTAAAAGTATATGTTAGCCCTGATCTCAAAATTTGCCATTTGAAGAATTGAAAATTACTAGCCGTTTTGAGATGAAATCTACCATGATCCTGAGAGTGATCGGACAGTTTTACGTTACTGAGGCGACTCTTAAGACATGTAAAGCTTGTGAATGTTCGCTCTATTTAAAGTTATGGCATTTGCCTGAGAACTTTTTTAATCACCCTTGAAGACGAACAAGGTCAAAATTACGTCATTTTTTATTGTGCAACATTACAAACATATTACTAAGTCAGTAGGTGATCATCGTCCATGGTATATATTCCGACGACTTGGCAGAAGAGAAGTTTTAATAGATCGATCAAAGTACATATTTATATGATTAGAATGACTGACCGCACTGATTAGTTGAGGACCGTTAACTTTCTGAATTATTTAATTACATTCACATTGTCTCACCTCGATTCGTTCTAATTCAAAATTAGTTGCAAAAATCTTTTTCCAAGATGGGAATTTTCAAAGTGATCAATGAGTATTAATTAACATATCAATTTTGCGTGTGGGTGTGCTTCATGCTCACTTTCTGGAATTGGCGTCTAATGAGCAAAGGATTCATGTGCATCAGACTTTAATGAGGCCACCAACTCTCTCACTTTCCTTTATAACCTCGGACCAATAATTTGGTAAATTATTGCTTCCTCTCATGATAGCGTTCGAGATTATACATTCGTTCTGAGTATCCTCAATTTCTACTTTTACCGGATGGCTACACGAATAAGTCCTGACTTATTCTCAGTAATCTCTATGGCAAGATCTCCTAGTTAGGAATGGCTCCAAGAATAAGCTAACCTATCTCAACAATACAGAGGAAACAGAGGTGTGAGGTAGAATATATTTACTTGGGACGTGCGTTGGGATGTGCTCATGTTCTCAGCATTCGTGATCTCATTTAGTCTTGAACGCGATCAGATTGTCTTAGCTTAGATTTTATTTCAGAAAAAAGGGGTGTGCGATAGACTTACCTCCATGTGGTGCACCATGGGGATTATATACTTACACGGCAAAAAGTTTATTTATCGGCAATTGACTTCTGACTTCAAACTATTATGACCTGACTGTCTGTCATATTCGACCCCTCTCAAAGTACTCATCTTACCTTTTCTCTGCCTATGTGTGTCTGTCTCTTTCACATCTGTTAATCATTATTCTGTCCCCCCACCCGCTCGACATTTTGTCACTTTGATGTTCCTCCTTCTCTCTGTGAAGCCCGAAGTCGGTTAAAGGGCTAATGATTACTATCAAAACGCCTGCCATTTGAGATATGTTTCAGGAAAAAAGGATAAATCGAACTGATATGGAACGATTCGACGATCAAACATGGAGTTTTAGTTGTATTTAGTAAAAAGGAAATTTACACTACTGGCTAAGCGTCCATTGTACAACAAATACAATTTAACATTGGAATTCAGTTATTCAGCAAGATAAAAATAACCAGTGTTTGAATAATCATATGATCAATAGGGCCGTAAAATGCCGCCCAATTCTTCCACCCCTAATACTATGTGTGGGAATTAGCGAACACAAAATCTCAAATGTAGTTACCTTTATTTCCTGCCTATAAGTGATATTTCAAACGTGATTAACGAACTATTCACCACTTCCTCTAAAATGATCATTGTGTCCGTTTATTCTTAACTCATTGATTATGGTATCCAAGGCATGACTTCCAATGTGTTCACCCCTTTGGAAATATTCCAATTGCTAGACTATGTAATGAAAATTTTACTCCATCTTATTATTCAGTACTTGAAATAAATCAGAAATGGTCTGCCTTACGAAGAGTGGTCATAAAAAAACACATTTGTTATAGTTTACTAAATACAGTTTACACATGAATTTATACATGCTAACAGACGTACATACTGGTCTATGTAATTACAGAAAGGTCAAATGTCGGCATGCTTATTGCTTCGTGTAGGTGGATTTCCGCGGATGTTTGCTTTATTGAAGAGAGCGACTGATATGGGGGAGGGGGGTGGCGGGAATTAAAGTGAGGAGAGGTTGAGCTAACTTTGCTGGGTAACAGATTTGATCTCACAAATGGTATTATTTAAATAACCCAAGTTGTAGAATAGGGTGGGGGGAGGGGCTGTGGGCACAGCTTTGTTTCTAATTAGTTCAAAAATTTAGGGTTCTACCCCAAGTGTTGAGGGGTTACAAGACAGATGTGCGTGGGAAGTGTGTTACTTTGATTCAGCCTTGGCAGAGGAAAGGTATCATGAAGTTGCCCTTTCAAGAGACTCGCATTCTACCACATCTCTCGTTGAATATTTTGTGTGAACATTCACGTCAGACAATGAATCTGTTGAACAGTTAACTTAGTTGACTAGTCATAAACGTCATTTTGATTTATATTTTTATAGTCACGAAAAGTTTGATCTTTTTAACAAGGCATATCTCTCTAGAGTTCACTCAAGGTGTACTCAAGTGTTTAGTATAATTATAGAAGTAGGTGAAGAAATTGTTATGCAAGGTGAGTGCGATCAAGTTTAATTACAACCTAGGGTAAGTGGAAGCGATACTGGCGTGGGAGTTCAGTTAAAATAGCCTTTGTGAAGTTTAAGTTTGCTTTCCGAAAAGAATAAGGCACCGATACTCCAAATGTGTGATTGGGCCTTGTGACATGATTTTCAACTACATTTATTTATGTATTTCAAATGGCAGGCTTTATGATAGTTATCATTAGCACTTTAGTTGACTTCGGGCTTCACAGGGGGAGGGAACATCAAAGTGAGAAAAAGTGGAGATGGTGAACAGAAGAGTGGTTCACAGAAGTAAAAGAGACAGGAAGACACAAAGGTAGAAAAAGGTATGATGATATACAGTGGGGTAATGATAGTTTGAAGTCAGAAGTCAACTGCCAGTTAATAGACATTTTTGCCTTTTGAGTATACGTCGCCCAGAGTGCACCGCGTGGAGGTAAGTCTATCGCACACCGCATGTTATGAATATCGTTAAGGTAGACGAGGCACACATGTCAATCGAATCAGCGAGCAAATTAAATATTAGCTTAATGAGAAATTTCTAAATAAAATGTTTTTGCGAAAAGGTACACCCATTGTTATCATTCTTCAAATAGACTTGACGTACAGATGAAGTAGCACGAAGTATAGTTATAAAGGTTACTATTCACTTTTAAATAAAATGCCAAAACTCATGACCTGTTTCAGCGCTGCCATGGGTTTTTTAGGAGAAGGATTTTGCCCCAGCACACAGAAATGGTTCTTAGGTAATGCCAAAAAATATTTCTAATATGACTGTCATGCAGATTGATGCTTGGCAGTCAAGCTGTAGCTCAGTAGTGGCGTTGAGCCAATTCAGGAAGATTCGAATAAGTGGGAAAATCCATAAACACCTGGAATGGATGTGTGATAGACTTGCCTTCACGTGGTGCATCCTGGGCAACGCATACTCATACGGTAAAATGTCTATTAACCGGCAGTTGACTTCTGACTTCAAACTACCATCACCCCACTGTATGCCATATTTGACTACTTCCACAGTACTCATCTTACCTTTTCTCTGCCTTTGTATCTATCTGTCTCTTATATTTTTGAATCACTCTTCTGTCCCGTCTCTCTCGAATTTTTCTCACTTTGTTGTTCTTTCCCTCT